AAATCTGGTTCACATCGCAGCTAATTCTGGCTAAGAACTGCTCACTTAGACAGGAAGACACCTTCTGACTGACATAGAAACCAACAAACCTTGAAGACAATGCTTTTTCACGTGCCTGGTGTCCCAGAAGTTACATAAGGGCGGCCAAATACATCTGATCAGAAGATATGTGTCAAAAATTCCATCAATGGATTTAAGAGATTTTCACACCTAGCTCGTTTGGAGCATTTGTTTCAGTACCTGGCATGTTTTCTCCCTCAAAAAACCACCGGTTTTGACTGGTCATTTACACGACAACAGTGTTTTGGGGTCCTGAAAACACAAACTTTTGAAAACTGGTTTCGAAAGTGTTTTTGAAAATTGTACTGTTATGGTCTCTATGTAAACTACAAAACTGTGGATATGTGAAAATGGTGCAACATGGGCATGCGTATTACTTGCTCAATCTGTGTTTCTTTACCTAGAGACATCGCCAACTACTGGCCTGGCAACATAACACAGCGTTTTCAGTAGTTTTGGTGGATAAATGTGAACAGGAATAGTTTTGACAATGTTGTTGTCTGCAATCAAACAAGACAAAGGAAAAACATTTGCATTTTTTAGTATTGTTGTCATGTTAACATACACGTAGATTGGCTTGTTAAGGCATGTATATGAACAGGGCAATCAAGTTCGGATCCGCACCAAATCAATCAATCCGAGATCTCCTGAACAAGGTGGTTTTAGTCCAATTAAAAATCCATTCGGTGGAAAGAAAGCAACCTGACCCAACGGGCCAACAAACCAATCTGTATCATAATTCATAATGGGAAATGTGTTGCGTTTAAAGGGATACTCCACTTTTTTTTTTTTTTTTTTTTTTGGAAATAGGCTCATTTTACCACTCCCCCAGAGTTAAACAGTTGAGTTTTACCGTTTTCAAATTATTTCAGCTGATTTTCTGATATTTAGAAGAATATTAGTAACCGGACAGTTTCTGGTCCCATTGACTTCCATATAATAGTAGGAAAAAAATATACTATGGAAGTCAATGAGACCATAAACTGTCTGGTTACTGACATTCTTCTAGATATCAAAAAAATCAGCTGAATACATTTGAAAACGGGGAAAACCCAACTGTTTAACTCTGGGGGAGTGGTAAAATGAGCCTATTTCCAAAAAAAAAAAAAAAAAAAAAAAGTGGAGTATCCCTTTAAAGCAGCAGCTAACTTGTCAATGCATCTTGATGATGCAATGAGGAACATAAACGGGTGTACTCTGACTAATGAGAGGACACTTTTACTCACATGTGACTTGCATAAACAGATTCTGGCATGCTTTGAAATGTTTCCTTGTGAAAGCGAACCGAACAAAGACGAAGCAGCTACATAGTAACAATTCAAGTCTATATTTTGGAACAAAGCAAATGATATTTCTGAAAACGTCCCATTTGGAGTCCTAAGCAACATATATGTTTGTGAAAATTGTGTTGTGTTCTGATGTTTTGCTCATCACAATTAAGTCCTTTAAATGTCATTTAAATCACTTTTTGATTGTAGCTATCTGTTCGTACACTATAGCCTTTTTAACTGGAGTATTTAATGGATTTTCCAACCCTTTCTATGGCTGTTGAAAATTTACTCGGGTCATAAGCCAAAAATGAGAAGGGGGAAAAAAGAGCTTTAATGGTTTGAAAACACTTTTGATTCTTGCAAACAGCACCAGATAGGCAGTGGTTATAAAACTTTAACTGATCTGTGAAAAGGGGAAGCTACTACTGAGCCACATGTTCTTAAGTTAATTGCCTGGCTGCTTTGAGACTCCAATGAAAGTCTGATCATTAAAGAAATTGGTAAAACATTTCTTTGCCCTCAAAATTGCAAGATGACGCAGGATCTGTTTTAAAAGCTTTTCATTTTATTTTATTTTTTTTTTTTCACTGTGGAGTTTTTTAATATGATACATTCCCTGATTGTTGAGAATTGTTGGCTTTTAAAAAAGGGTTTGCCACAAATATTTGCATTTCCAGGCCTAACTTTTGCATACTGTAAGTTACCATGGGAAGCTTGGACATCTTTAGATTTAAAGAAACAATTCACCCAGTTATGAAAATTCTGTCACCAATTACTCACCCTCATGTCGTTTCAAAACCAAAATCCTTTAGTTCATGTTCTAAGAACACATCTCACAAGCTCAAACGTTCTTGCGTAATACTGTACGTGAGAACAATCCTCACTGGTTCTCGCATGTCAAGAAAGTACAGCATGTTTGAGCTGTTATTTAATGTGTTTTATATGGTATGTGTGGTGATTGTTTACATGGCAAAAACAGCATAAAATAAATCCGTTCATCCTATAAACCGACTCAGAAGACTACTCAGAAGTCAACATTTTGGGTGGATGGAGTTTAAATGGAAGGACGGAAATCTGTCAAGGTATACAGAAATGAAACATTGATTTGAAACCATACCGTAATATATAGTTACATTATTTTATTATGCAAGAAAAACAGAGACTACGAAGTGATACCCAAAACATGAAACTAGCACAGTCGTGTAGAGAATCAACGGTCGATTATGTAGTTTAGCTGCCATTGACCAATCAAAATCAAGTATTACAGAGCATTGAGGAATAATGCAATTTATTACAGTAATGTTGCATTAAAGGGAAAGCTTTCCAAAGTTCTCAGGGTTTTACGGCGAACATTTTTTCCTCCCTACCTTTTAACCGTCCGTGTGAAACCGCTGTCTTAAAGCTTTAAGCCAACTTAGCAGTAACTGCAGTTTATACTTATTCATGACTTTGCTGTTGCTTATGAGTAAACAGCGTTTGAATGTGAGAGAAAGCAGTTTGGAGTCATAAACTTGTGTTCTTGGCAGTGCTGGCAGGGGGGCTGTGTCTGGTTGATTGGAAGCACTCCTGGTGTAATTGCGGCCTAGTTAGCTCTGATTGCTGGTCCTGTGTTTGGATAGCAAACTGCAGTGGTGCTGCTACAAATTACAGCGAGTCCATCCATGCGTACTTGCGTAGCTGTTGTCATCATGGATACTGATCGAAAGTGCCTCATAGTACCTCAGCTAAGAAATTTTAGAACACAGATGCAGGTGAGATGTGTCAGGTTCTGGTTTGGAGAACAGATCGCATTTGAGTCAGTTGTTTCGAATAATCTCTCCAAGTTTGAAAGCTCCAGCTCCAATGGTCTTATATTCAAGGGCTTTCACATCATTTGTACTTTGTGATGCATGCGTGTAGAACTATTTTAGCAGAACCTATTTTTAGTAACCAGAGTTGTACCTTTTGCTAGCATGAATGATGAGTACCATAATTATGCTGTCAGGCAAAGAGTGACAATAAACATAGATGGCTGGCAGTGGCGTCAGGCCACAGGGTCATTTGCTGCCATTATTTGGTGTGGCAAAGTGGACTTGTAATAGAAAGATGATGGTTTATTCTCCCCATAGAATGATGCTTATTTACCTCACACACATGGTCAGTGTTGTGCAAGTTACTTCCAAACTGTAATACATTAGGTATTACTTGTTACTGTTATTTAAAAGTAATTCATTACCTTACAATATTACTGTCCCAGAATTGTAATGCGTTACATTACTCATGTATTACTTTTGAGTTACTTTCACCAAAATAACTAAGTAGAACTTAACTTTGGGGCTGTAACGATATGCAATATGAAACCGAAATCGCGATTCGCCACATCCACGAACCTACAGAATCGCGACACACCTCTTCCAACTCCAGCGTTATTCTCCTTACCGTCCATATCCAATGCTGCCTTATCTTTAAATTAGGCTATTAGTATTATTTGAAGTTAACATTATAAAATACGTAGACCTACACCACAAAACTAGTTGAGGATAAATTATTTAAAATTAGGGAAGTCCAGCATTATGGACATGACATTTGCAGTCATAACTTGAAATAAAAATTCTCAGAAAATACATGTATTGAAACGTATGCTACTTGCTTAAAGGACTCCAGACATTAGACAAATATCAGTCTATGTTTTATTTTTAATATTAGGAAAAAGACACACATTCATGCGTGACAAAAAAAATAGGAGGCAAAATATATTTTTTGTAATTCTGTTAATTACACTGCGCAAATCGGATGAGGAAGGGTTGGTTCTCCAGTCTCCATAGAACTTAAAATATTCATTTTATTTTAGTTTTCGTGTTCGCATTTATGAGGAAAAAACAATGTTACAGACGCGACCGCTCTGAACTGGCACTAAAAGACTGCTTTAAAACTTTCACATAGTCTGTTGCCTTTAAGAAGTAAAAGCAGACAATACACTGTAATACAACTGTAATACAAGCCTCACTGAACATGTAACGAGTAAAATATTACTGAAAATTGATTAGTAATGCCTTACAGTGAGTTTTGTCCAGGCTAAAGGCCCATTCATTATGGAAACTAACTATAAGTTTTATTAATCATTCTGATTCTATGGGAATAAGTAAGTCCATACAACAGTTGTAACGGGAACGACACAGAAGTACGATATTGTTTGAAAAAAACAAACAAACTAATGAATGATAAAATCATTTGCAGGCAATCAGAATCCACCAATTTAAAGAGAAATTTACCCATTCACCATGGATTTACCTTTTATTTCCCATCAGGTTGTCTCAATGTGGAAAACACTTTAATCATTCACTTTGGATAAAAGCTTCCGCTAAATGACTAAATGTATTTAAAAATGTATGTGAATCAGCATTTAGTGTCTGTCAAGCAAAATTAAGTAAGAGCAACCAATGATAGCCATTTGGTTTGATTTTAAAAATGCTATAGTACAAGATTTTACTGATTTATAGTGTACTTTTTGGAGCCACAAACACATAGTCAGAATTGACTGTCATTGCATTGAAAAGAGCTGCATGAAATAGTAATTTTTGGGTGAACTATCCTTTCAAAATCAGCAAATTTAGGCTGGGGAACATTTGACGTGATTTGCATCTCTTTATTCTGCTAATCTATTGCAAATGTCTCTGTATTGTCTTTCAGATGACAGTGAGGCAGTAGACAGCATGTACGACACAGAGCCCAATCTCGTGACCGGCGAGAGTGCGGAAGAGGAGACAGAAGACAGCATCATGTCCCCCATTGCGGTGGGTCCCACGTCCCCTCAGCCCTGCAATGAGGACTTCACTCCTAAAGAGGGCTCACCCTATGAGGTGCCCGTCTACATTCCCGATGATATTCCCATCCCTGCTGACTTGGAGCTCCGCGAGTCGTCTGTTCCAGGGGCTGGCCTTGGAATCTGGGCTAAAGTCAAAATTCGGATGGGAGAACGCTTCGGACCATACAATGGACTGCAGAGCGCCACGGTAAAAGAGACCACTTATGGATGGGAGGTATGTGGAGATGATATGGCATGCTCTTAACATTTTGCTTTTTATTAGCATTATCAGAAAGTTAGTTGAATTGCTATTGGGTTCGATTTGAATTTGGAAGAACACAAGTCTCGTAGGCTTCTTTTCTCGTTTGGCTGACTTCAAAGTGTTCTAGGACCCAAGAACGTCACGTCCAAGCAACACTACTTCACCAAAGTGTGGACTCATAGGAGGTCTGCAAGGGTCAAGGGCGCCATTTGAGACAGAACCTCAGTTTATACTATAGGGGCTTTCACACCGAGTACTTCTAGAAACTAGCCACCACTGGTTGCATTCGCAATGACAGTAGGAACTCTGAAGTGACGTAAGCCACGCTTGTTGTTGTGACTTGCTCGCATTCTCCGTTATCATTAGTTTACGATCTGGCTTTCACTTTATTAGATAGAACTGTTATACATCGAAAGTAGACAGTAATGAACAGTGTTGTGCAAGTTACTTCCAAACTGTAATACATTAGGTATTACTTGTTACTGTTATTTAAAAGTAATTCATTACCTTACAATATTACTGTCCCAGAATTGTAATGCGTTACATTACTCATGTATTACTTTTGAGTTACTTTCACCAAAATAACTAAGTAGAACTTAACTTTGGGGCTGTAACGATATGCAATATGAAACCGAAATCGCGATTCGCCACACGACTACATGAAACCTACAGAATCGCGACATACCTCTTCCAACTCCAGCGTTATTCTCCTTACCGTCCATATCCAATGCTGCCTTATCTTTAAATTAGGCTATTAGTATTATTTGAAGTTAACATTATAAAATACGTAGACCTACACCACAAAACTAGTTGAGGATAAATTATTTAAAATTGGGGAAGTCCAGCATTATGGACATGACATTTGCAGTCAAAACTTGAAATAAAAATTCTCAGAAAATACATGTATTGAAACGTATATAGGCTACTTCCTTAAAGGACTCCAGACATTAGACAAATATCAGTCTATGTTTTGTTTTTAATATTAGGGAAAAGACACACATTCATGCGTAACAAAAAAATAGGAGGCAAAATATATTTTTTGTAATTCTGTTTATTACACTGCGCAAATCGGATGAGGAAGGGTTGGCTCTCCAGTCTCCATAGAACTTAAAATATTCATTTTATTTTAGTTTTCGTGTTAGCATTTATGAGGAAAAAACAATGTTACAGACGCGACCACTCTGAACTGGCACTAAAAGACTGCTTTAAAACTTTCACATAGTCTGTTGCCTTTAAGAAGTAAAAGCAGACAATACACTGTAATACAACTGTAATACAAGCCTCACTGAACATGTAACGAGTAAAATATTACTGAAAATTGATTAGTAATGCCTTACACTACTGCGTTACAGCAAAAAGTAATATGTTACTGTAATGTATTACTTTTGTAATGCGTTACTCCCTACACTGGTAATGAATAGGTATTAGAGTATGCCGTGTGGTTCATGTCCAGTGTCGCTAGCTGGGCAGAAATAGATAATCATGTGTTTCTCTTGGTCCCCTCAAAGTTGCGTTGGATTTTTTCCTCAGCGTAAAGTTTGAGAGGTCCATCTATCACAGTTTTCCGTGTTAGTTTGTCGAGTAAATATATAGGCTATAATCTGTGCGTTTGCATAGAAATGGTGGTGTTTCGCGTACGTTTGGTCAATAAGTATATACTAACGTCACGGATGGTTTCCATAATGTTGGTTTAGATCAGGGTTCACCAATCTCGGTCCTGGAGGGCCACTGTCCCTGCAGAGTTTAGCTCCAACCCTGATCAAAACACCTACCTGTGAGTTTCTACTGATCCTGAAGACCTTGATTAGCTTGCCCAGGTGTGTTTGATCAGGGTTGGAGCTAAACTCTATTGGTTGGACCGAGATTCGGGAAACCTGGTTTAGACCATACTCTGAAGTAGGAGCTAAATTGGTTCCTCCAGAAGGAGTTCCTAGAACTAAAATTGTTCCTAGTTCCTGCCGTGAGAACACGCCAACATCCGGGTACTTCCGCCTTAGGTCTAGGAACTATGAAAAGTTCCTCCGGTGTGGAAGCCCCTTATGAAGATGAACAAGGCCTCCAATGATTCAAGGCCCAATTTGACTGGTGTATGTGGTAAGTCAACCCTGCGGTGACTAGCTCACAGCCTGTGGGAAAGACATGAGCACATTATGGGGTAAAGATGTTCATTCCATGTCTCTGGGTTTTTTTTTGTTTTTTTTTCGTCTCCCCTTTTCTTTTCCATCCATCCCTGAATTTCATTTAATGGTGATTTTCAAAACCCTGATTACTGAAGATATCAGCTTTTCTCTTCTGCCTACATCTATTAGAATATACTCATTTGGTCACGCCACATGATATGGGTTATGGGAGATGCGTGGCATTTGCGTGGAGCCATATTGAACTATTAATTTTCATTTCAACATGACATCGGAGGATATTGAAATTGCTCATTAGGGCACATGCTGATTCCCCCACATGACTGATCAGACGTGAGCTGCTCTCTCTCTTTTTCTCTTCTCTCACTCACTGTGTTCTTTGCTCCACTGATACCATTACACCCATTTAGAATTACATAGGGCTGTGCCAGAAACGTTATACTGGTTCCTGTGATGGATATATTTTAACCCTGGATCTGAGTAAGAATTTATTTCTGAAACATTTTGACTATTTTTATGCTTTCAGGTAGCATTTGGAGTGTAGTATTCTGTTCAATTTAACAAATTTTGTTATTTTTAAATGTGTTTTGAAGAATTCTTTCTAGAAATCAATGCAGAAATGGTCAGATAATTGAGCATGCACACTATGAACAGTGTGTTATTTCTCTCAGCTGACCTACTGCATTTGTAAAAAAAAAAAAAACAAAAAACAAAAAAAGTGCAGTATACAATCAGAACACAGCATGAAATAGTGTATCCCATCGCTCAATGCACTCGACTTGACCTTTCGTTTTTATTGCAAATAATAAACTGGGGAACATTATTAACCAGGATTTTTAAGATCTCTTGACACCTTTTCACAATATAGAATCAAAAAAGCAAATAAAATAAAAAATCAATACTTTTATTCAACAATGATGCATTAAATTGATCAAAAGTTACAGTAAAAATATATAAAGTGTCTCTCTCTTTCTGTTTCTGTCCTCCTGACGCAACTCTCAAATTTCAGCCCTAATTTACACGCTCAAGCACTTTGGCGTTATGTTTTATAAAGAGTACACTCAAGGCCCTAGCTGACAGCGTAACGATTGACAAGGAGCACATCTATGGGTATTCCCTCATGCGCACACACACATACACACACTCGCTAAAGACCGGAGAGACATCTGTTGGACCATCTGTGACAAACCATCTATAAAAATGATGCTTGTTAGCAGCTGCCGGAAAGCGGATGACAGTGTGTTGTCTTAATTTTAGGATTTTCTGTTTAATCGCATTATTTCTTTCCTATTCTTGTGAAATTTAATAGCCGTTTCCCTAATCCCACCTTAATGAGCAGATGTAATTAAGTAAAAAATAAAAGTAAAAAATACTGTTTACATCGTGACTGTGGCGGTTTCAAAACATTGCTCTGTTTGTTTGAGCATCCTCACACAGCAACAACCAATGGTGTGATATTAGGGCGTGGCTATCTGTTTTACTGGCCAATGAAAGACAGGGGGAGGGTTTTGGAAATATCGCAATTCTTTTGTGTTTGCTAGTTGTGCAGAAACCACACTCTTCACCTTTAAAGGATTGTCGCGTGGCAATCATTTGACTCACGGCTGTTATAGCTATTCTTTGTCTTACGTTTTAGGGCATTTACTCAGAAGAAAAATGAAAACAATCATTCAGGAACCTCAAGCTCATAAAACATCTGGTTTAAAAGGTGGAAAACTAAAAGGAAACATCTAAGCCACATCCTGTCTGCCCCATTCGCCATGGTTGGAGGGTTCTTGCTCTTGTTAGAGATAGTCATAACAGTCGGACACAGATAGCATCGCGCTGTCCCTGAGGAGCTGGACTCGGATACGTCATCACTCCACCCCAACTCTTAGACAAATAGACAGAAGTGAGAGCGCAGAGCAGCTAAGAGCAAAGAGTCAGAGGTGTTAATAGAGCGGGATTACAGACCGGCCACAATGGGCCAAACGCAGACACATATCCACCGAGTGTTTAAATCACACATCTAAGAGTTCACATGGTTTCTCATGACTGCAAAACATGTATATGCTGGGTAAACAATGCCATTCTCGAAGACTTCTGTCTGTGGTACACAGTGTAGGGAGTAACGCATTACAAAAGTAATACTTTACAGTAACATATTACTTTTTGCTGTAACGCAGTAGTGTAAGGCATTACTAATCAATTTTCAGTAATATTTTACTCGTTACATGTTCAGTGAGGCTTGTATTACAGTTGTATTACAGTGTATTGTCTGCTTTTACTTCTTAAAGGCAACAGACTATGTGAAAGTTTTAAAGCAGTCTTTTAGTGCCAGTTCAGAGCGGTCGCGTCTGTAACATTGTTTTTTCCTCATAAATGCGAACACGAAAACTAAAATAAAATGAATATTTTAAGTTCTATGGAGACTGGAGAGCCAACCCTTCCTCATCCGATTTGCGCAGAGTAATTAACAGAATTACAAAAAATATATTTTGCCTCCTATTTTTTTGTTACGCATGAATGTGTGTCTTTTCTCTAATATTAAAAATAAAACATAGACTGATATTTGTCTAATGTCTGGAGTCCTTTAAGCAAGTAGCCTATATACGTTTCAATACATGTATTTTCTGGGAATTTTTATTTCAAGTTTTGACTGCAAATGTCATGTCCATAATGCTGGACTTCCCCAATTTTAAATAATTTATCCTCAACTAGTTTTGTGGTGTAGGTCTACGTATTTTATAATGTTAACTTCAAATAATACTAATAGCCTAATTTAAAGATAAGGCAGCATTGGATCTGGACGGTAAGGAGAATAACGCTGGAGTTGGAAGAGGTGTGTCGCGATTC